CTTGTAAGAGGAACTCCTAACTGTGACTATAGCATTGAATATCTTTCTTGGTTTTTGTCATGTACTTTTGAGAACAATGGCTGCTCTCTCAAATGGAAAACATGCATGAGGTGGGTTGCCACTGATAAACTTTCACTATGTAGGCAACTGCATAAATATTGTGACAGTGTAATTACTTTACATCAAGATTGCTCTCTGCTGGCAGAGCCGATCTAGAATTACATGGTAACATATGCATTCAAAAGTAATAATGATAATAATAAAAGAAAAGGTACTGCTATGTTATGACCAAGGAGATATTTTGCTTCAGATGTATTTGTATAGAAACGTGACTTTTTATTTCTTTTGGCAAGTGAAGGTTTACAGTTTTTGTCATTGTTCTAGAAGCTACGTAAAAAGGTTATACTATTGTCTTTCTTTTCTTTTTGTCTGTGTATACACTGTGTACTCAAGGTGCCTTTCTCAATGGTGTCTGAATTTCTTTTCATTCAGTCCAGCTCTACTAAGGTACAACTGAAGGGCGACGTGTCCTTTTTTCCCTTTTTGAGCGTGAAAACATGTGAGAATGTTTTTGTGACAGAAGAACGGCGTGTGTGAGTGTGTGTGCTTTATAAATGCTTTTCACACACTTCAAGAAAAAAATGCAGCTCATTGCGTGAGCTATACATCTTCATGACTTGTTTTGGGATTGGGCTTTTTTTAAATAATTTTAAAAAACGCATTAAGCTTACTGTAAAATATAGATGTATGAATGTAAAATAAAAGTATTGGATTTCTATGTCTAGCATTTGTGTAAAGCCTCTTTATTCTAAACTAAGCAAAAAAAGAAACATCCTCTTGCACCGAACTGCTTTATTTCCAGCTAATTTCTTGTGTAAATGTTTTTAAACAACTGAAGCAAACGGAACATATTTCACAGGCATTTGATGAACAGAAATGGAATAATGCATTCCTGAACATAGGTCGCAGTAAGTATCTTGTGTGGCCACCAGCCTCTTTAAGTATTACAGTGCATCTCATCCTCATGGACTGAACCAGATTAGCCAGTTCTTGCCGTGAGATGTTTCCTCACTCTTCCACCAACACAAGTTCTGGGACATGTGTGGGGAGACACCTGGTTTGGCACTGCAAGGACGATCGACTGTCCTTTCTTGTCTCCCTGCAGCACTGTCTTAGGCATCTTTCGTTATGGACATTGTTCTGGCCACATCTGCAGTCCTCATGCCTTCCTGCAGCAGGCAAGACTATGGCATGTTCACGCAGGTGAACACATTAAGCTTAGCGTTATGGGAAGGCTCGCATGTTACAACAATAGCAGAATTGTTAGAGAGTCAAGATAAAAAGCAGGGAACCAAATCACCACAAGCTTGGGGTAGTGAAAAGCAATGCTGGAAGCTCCATACGTTTGTTGTATCAATTCCTTAAACAGGACTAGAAATGTAGTGAAGAATTCATGAATTAGAATAAGAATTAATGAACCACAGTAGGAGTTTAGAACTGCAGAACAGTTCAGCTATAGAGTTTTCATTGAGATGTGCTTTATTTTCTACAGGTATTACTAATTCAGTCAACAGGTAACAAACCGCACCATCTAAAACACAACCAGATTTGTACCACTTCAACATGCTGATATATAAACCATTGGCCAAAATGATATTGACTGCACAACTAATGCTCAGACCTATGGTGCGCACATTATAGTACTATACTCTATAGTATTACACAGACTGAAGACATCATCCGTCTAAAACTTTAACCAGTTCAACAAGGCCATATATAGTGCAAGCCTGCAACATAGAAGCCATTCTTAGGGGGATCAGAAAACTGCATTACAAACCATAAAAGTATCAGATCCTGTTGTGTTACTCTGGAATAGGCCCAACATTATTTTGCTTCCTTCTTCAAAACCAATAGAACACAAAAATGCAACAATATAGCTCAGAATGCAACACGGACCTAAATTTTTTCTACTGTGGAGGGGAATTTCCATTGACTTCTATTGGTTTTATACTGAGCCAGCATTGTCTATCTACTAAACCAAACCTCTCTGCATTTCCAAACTTTGTGAAAGTTTTCTATGTGGGGACAGTAGTGTGCTCCTGACAATACAGGCAAAACCTGATTCACACACACGTACATTTACTTAGCTATATAAAATGGTCCATTCAATAAACTTCTATTGTTTTCATATATACTGGCTATAACCTAATCCTAACTGAAACCTTCTACACGGTTTCAATTTTATTTTTTACAAATGAGGACACCCCCAAATGTTTTTTTTTTCTTCAGTTCAGGTCACATCTAGGTATACATTTGTCCCTAAAATATGCCGTACACAAGCAGCTGTTTGTTTCACTATGTTAGTCAGGGCTTTTAAACTACTAAATTCTGACTCGCTAGTTGGTGTTCCAACTGTTTCACTTTTTCAGAAAGGATCATTTTGAATGGTGAGGACCTCACAATAGTCAAACTAATACACATTTTTACACACAGAAGGGAGGCAATGCAAGTAAATATATACACACTTTATTTACAAGTTACTATTAGCTGATTAAGTTTTTAAAAACTACACTTTCACCTGCAATGTTTATTCACGGGTGAAAGCACAACCATGTAGGCATTAACACAAAAGCTCAGGCTGCGTCTTCAATCTCAAAATGATAAACAAGAGTATCATTGAGGTCCTCAGGGCCAAGTATCCAATGATTTTTCCTCTTAGTAGAAATCTAAAAGCAAGAGAAAAACATGGATCACTGAAGAAAAACAAGTAGCAAAGCCATTTAGAAAACACTACCTTTTCTTCTAACAGCTCGTTGAGTAAGGAGTTTAGAGCAGAACCCTTAGCAATGCGATCATCCATCTAAACGACAAGGCAATAGGCCATCAAGACAAGCTACCTAAAGCTCACATTTCGCCAATCATTAAATAATTGACAAACTGGTGGATCTCCAAACTTACTTTGCTGTGGTGCAGCTCAGAGCAACAATCCTCCATGTCAAAGCTCGCATTCATGCATTTCTCCTGAAAACAGACTAGAACCATTGGAAACTGTCTGGTGTTATTGCAGGGACGTCCTTAGGGGTGCAGCCGCACGGGCCCCCTACCTCGCACCGGGCCCCGCATTAGCCAAGGACAGCCCCATTCGG